CAACTATCCTTTGCAGGGTTCCAGGGTTTCAAACCAAACATTTTATTGATGGTGTTTTACAGGCTTGCCTTCAACATCATGGATGTTCCGTAGCATCTCGTCACCTCTCAGGGGTTCCTCTTGTGAAAAGGTCAGTGATCTGACTGTGTAGTCCTCCATCACGTGGAAAACTGCCTCCAAAGTGAAATAACAGTCCCGCTCTTTCATATCGTCCTCGATTAGAAGCAGAGCGCTCCTCCAGGTGAAGTGTTCGAACATCGCGGTGAAGATCTCGGCCATCTTCATGTAAGACGGAGCGATTCGCGTCAGGTGGGAGTATTCTGTGTCTTTGTTCCTGAACGCCACGGCCAAAGCACCTGCTGAGATTACCGGGATGTTCCAGTGGGATGCCAGCCTTACCACCCCGGCCGCCTCGTACTCGCGCACGGGACCGAGGATGAGATCAGGCTTGTGGTCGCAGGACCTGTCCGCGAACGTGAACACCGCCTGGTTGACGGAGTCCGAGTCCGCAAAGTTCAGAGTGAAGTGAAAGTTAGGGAAGTCTGTCTTCAGCGCGTTCTGTGCGTAACGGATCGCAGGCGCAACTCTGGCTTGTGAAAACAGAAAAGAGTTGTTTTTTGGCAAAAACACCAGGACGTCTATCTCCTCCGTCAGGTTTTTGTTCAGGACCGACTTCAGAATCATCAAAAGGATGAAACAATTAAGAATTAAACTAAACATAATGCCGTTTCGTGTTGGAAATGCGTTTCCGTCCACTACAGAAATGTCCCCGCTCTGATGACAACGGTTTCACAATCAGGTTATTTCCTTTTAAAGTTGCAGATTTTCTAATGTGTTCTGAATCCAGTCGGCTTGCTCAGAGGACCCTCAGCAGCTGAGTCCCGCGGGCTGCAAGCCTGGAGTTTTTAGCATCCTGTGAGATTTCTGCGTCACCGGGAGCTGCCCTCCTCCATCTGCTGCTGATGTGTGGCAAGCCATTTTAGCATATAATCGGATTCACGACACTTCCATTCCAGATATCTGAAATTGAATTGTGAGTCATATTTATTTAAGATATCTCTAATTATATTTTTGACTAGTCAAAATATCCAATTACATTTTGACTAGTATAAATGACGTCAGACTGAGTTCTGTGGTGGCTTCAATTTAAGGAATTTTGACGAGTCAAAAATACAATTTGAGATATCTCTAAGTTAATTTTTACTAGTCACTAGTTGCTTTCAAAATATCTCACTTTTAGTTCTGACTAGTCATAATTCCAATTAAAGATATCTTAAATGACATCATTATATAAGATATCTTAAATGTACTTTTAGACTTCACAAATAAAAGTTTGACTAGTTCAAATTCAATTACAGATATCTTGAAAGAAAATAATGACTACTCAAAACTAAATTAGAGGTATCTAGATCTGTAGTTATGACTAGTCAAAATTCCTAAGATATCTCTAAATGAATTTAAGATATCTTGAATATTTTTTGATCTAGAGGGCTTTTCTATTTAAGATATCTTGAATATTTTTTG